CCTGCCAAGTTAGTGCTGCCTCCATCTTGGCAGACATTGAGCAAAAACTGCTGCAAAAGCAACAGCTGGATCCTATATACAATATATGTGAAGCCTTTCTTGGCTGTGAACTTAATGGCATTATCACTGGGCATGAGCCTGCATAGGCCAAGCATGAGCCTGTATAGGCCAAGCATGAGCCTGCATAGGCCAAGCATGAGCCTGCATAGGCTAAGCATGGGCTTGCATTGGCCAAAAGCATCAGCCTGCATAGGCTAAACATACACACATGTAGCTTGTTTTTTCACTTAGGCCAGCTGTCCAGCTCAGTCATTCTGAACTGTCATCATCTTTGTCTACTCTGGCTTGTTTTCTAAAGTTGCCAGACTTAGTGTAATTTCGCCTCTTCTGGCTCAGACAATTCCCAATGTCTTGCATGATCCAATCACATACCAATGTCAAAGGGCCAGGCTCCAAAGGTACAAGTATCACCTCCTTCCAGCTGCTTGGTGTCTTGAAGGTCACACAAGCATCACCCAGCATGACATCCACTGTGTCAGGGGCTGTACGCAACATCTTTTTTTTGGTTGGCTTGCCCTTTTCTAGGGAGGTGGAAGCTTGTTCATGATCATCTTCAAAAATGTTTGTTTCTCCTTCATCATGCTTGGAAACTGCTGCCGTGATCATGTCCTGAATTGCTTTCACCTGTGGTGATGCAGCAAGTGAAGGATTCTTGACACTTTTGTATTCTTTCAAGTGACCAAGCACACATTTGGTCAATGTGTGGCTGCTAGCCTTGAATTTGAGCCATTTTTTTGGTTTTCATCTATATGGATGAGGCTCTCACTAAGCATCACTTGAGGCCCACCTCTGTATGTCAAGCAGGTGACATCAGAGACCTGCATTGCTCAACAGCTGGTCAAGCTACTCCTAACCTTGGGAGGCACAGCAGCAGGAGATTAGAGATTGAATTTGTTTGCTCATTCTTATAGCAATAAGCTTGAAGAACCAGCCTCTAAAGGCTGCCAGTTTCACAAATGAACTTGCACTAGTTCATTGGCATTTGACCTAGCAATAGCCTGTATAGGCAAACCTTTTTTGGCTTCAGCCTTGCAAAGTCAAAATGCAATCTATAGCACAAATCACTTCTACTTCACTACCTTCCTTTTCTTGGAGGCAGTGGTGTCAGGCTCTGGAGGATCCAGAAACAACCGAGTGCCCTTCTCCACCTGCTTCTTGTTCACATAACATGGAATCTGCAAACTCCCATGCTTCACCATCTGCTTTGCCATAGTGCCCTCCCCATCATTTGTAGCTTGCTTCACAAACCAGAAAGGGCTGAAGATCCCAGTCTCCTTGGTAAAGTCGCACTTGAAGGCATGAATCACATAGACATCATGGCTGCCCAAGTTGCCACACTTTATGTAGACTTGGCCCTTCATGAGCTTACTCTCCTCCACCAATTGCAAGCTGCCCATTGGAAGCAAACATAGCTTTCCTTTGGCAACCTTTTGACTTGCAAACACTTGGCCCTGGTTGGAGACCAGAACACTTGGATCGCCCAGCCTGAGCTCCAATCCCCAGAGGTTCAAACACTTTGGGAAAACAAACACATACAGACAAAAAACTTAACATGCTTGCCAGAAACTCTTTGCATTTCTCATAGAGTTCCCACTGTGCTTGAGCTCTGGCCATCTCATCATCCAAGCCCTTGGAGGAACAAGGTAGCAAAGCACCGCTGACTTCATGAGAAACCAGCTCAGGCTCAGGTTTCTTGTATTCTTTCCAATCATTCCAATCACTGTGCAACACAGTGATCTCTTCAGCTGCTCTGAAGAAGGGCTTGTGGACAAACTTGGCACCACCATCGATGAAGCCAGTGAGCTTCCACACCTTGGTTTCCTCCTTCTCTTTCTTGTGCACATACAGCTTCCCCAGCTGAATGTGCTTGCGCGCTGCCAAAGCAATGGCTTGTGTATCTTTGGCATCCATCAAAGACTTGACACTTTGTGAGGACACGGCCTTGGCTTCAGGTGCAGAGACAGCTGCAGTCTCCTTGTCAGCCTGCAACAAGTCATCCTCAAACCGGTTCTTGATATCTTCAAAAGATTCATACTTGGTTCCTTCCCTTCCCTTGACTTCCTTGTCCAGGAGGTGGAGGACCAATCGAATCTGAAATTTGCCAAAGACTTTGGCAGTCTTTGCCATGGGGAAGCCAGATTTCTCCACAGCCTCCCAGGCTGCACACATCAGCTGCTCTGCCTGCTCCAACTTAGGCAGGTGTTTTTTTGTTTCAACTTGTCAAAATCTTCTTTGGTGATCATTCTGGAGAATCCATCCTTGCACTGCTGCTTGGGTGCTGTGATTTGAGCTGCACACATGGCAACTCTCATGAAAGGCAGTGTTGTGGTTGGCAGCTTCCAGTCTGTATAGGCCACAAGGCTACAGAATTCTTCTCCAAGCATCACAGAGGCTCCATATGATCGTCCTCAGCATGGAGAAAGGCAAGGGGATTATGTTCAAAGGCATGCATTCAATGAGCCTGCACAGGCTGCAATGTGTTTTCACTTGTCATCATGGGCCTGTATGGCCAAGCCTGCACAGGCCTATATGTAATGGTTGAATGGTTGAATGCCTGTAATGGCTGAAAGTTGGATATTGCAGTATGCAACAAAGAAGTAAATGCAATCGAGAATCCAATCAAGTCCAAGTACTTGAGTAGTTTGAAGTCCTCTCCTCCTGCATAGCTTGCAACAAATCGCCGAGCTCCCTAAAGGTAGAAGACTGCTTGTGTGGGCTAGT